CCTCCCTCTAATGCCCCTGGATGTCTGTACTTAGCCTAAATGGACAAAGGAAGTGGTATTAGACTAGTCAGAACTTTTTTGTTTAGCACTCAATTCACTCAAACATTTAAAAAACAGTTGGAAGAAATATGTTCCTTTTAAAAATTCAGTATCTTTTCTCTAACCCGTAATAACTGAGAGTGCTTCCTCTGGTCCACTGAAGGAAGAATACCACACAGTGAAGGAGACAAGACTAGATGTAGCTAGTATTCTGAGGTGTGTGTATATATACCAGACTTATATATACCGTCCCACCCCCAAAAACAAAAAAACCCAAAAAACACAGCAAATTTTCAGGCCTTTCTGGCAAAATAACCAGGTGTTTGCATTTAATTGAAAGGGTGCTCCACAGGTTTTTAAGAGACAGATGCTTGACTGCAATCTCAGATCTTGTACAGGCTTGTCCATCCTACTGGAAGAGATAGACTGGAATATCTTTGAGGAAAAGTCTTGCCTAAGGGAAGAATGATCTTCAGAAGGTAGGGAAAGAAAGGGTACACTTGGGTATAGTTAAAAGAGTTCAGGCTAAGCACTGTGCTTAAAAATATCCCATAATTTTTAAATTTTGTTTTCCAAAACAATCAGTAGATAACTGTGCAGAATTTGATGAATGCTTCCAGTGTTTTGTAAATGGTCTGCTGATGCCACAAGGAATTAAGAGAGAGAGGACAGTCCATCAGGTTAGTTGCTAATATCAAATTCCAAAATTTAGCAGTGGTGCGTTCTTGAAGCAGAGAGAGACGCAGGCTCTTGAATGGTCCGGGAAGAACAGTTGGCTGCATCTCTAAGATGGCAGGTATGCTGAAAGCATGCGCTTGCTGGCATAATAAACCTGGGTGTTATAAATAAAACTGGCTGGGTATTCTTAGTTCCAGGGTGATGTGGCTGGCCAAGAACAGTTGGTGCTTTCCAAGCTCTTTGGGGCAGCACAGGCTCCAGAGGGCATAGTGCCCAGTGTGTGCGTCCGTGTGTTTGTTATAGAGGTATTCCCATGGAGAAATGGCAGGTAGGTAGGGTGCACTGAGAAGAGGAAGAGAAGAGGTTTTTTCCTGCAGCCAAATGGAAAAGTTCTCTCAGATTGCCACCTGCCTATATTGTCCCCCTGCGAAAGACAATAACCTCAAGTAGGTATCTTTCAGCTTCTGATCACGTTCAGTCAATGGCAGTATCAGATAGAGCTGCAGACCTGTGGTCCCACTCTGAAGCAAAGCCAGGAGCTAACCAATGTGAAAGTAATTATATGGCACTCTTTATCTGAGGGTCATCCTGCACTTAGTAATCCTTTGTCTGGCTCATTGCTTGCCAGCCCTGAAGGGAGTATTCCTCAGAAACAGTCGAAGGGACTGACCTTTTGAGTAGTATGATTTTATTTCTCTTTATTTAAAATTTCATCTTTGGTCCCCATCACTAAGGCACCTGGGGATGTGACAGCAGTGACTCCAGTCTTGGTGTAGCTTTTCAATTTGTAGAAGCTCTGGCTCAACTACTTGCTAGGTTACAGTTGCAAGGAGGTTAGTCACCTTCCCCCGGTCCTTCAGAGTTGTATAGACCTTGCTTGTGTGCAGTGGAGTCTCATGCGTCAGCTGTCTCTCAGCACTGGTCGATTCTAGGAGTGCAGTGCCTTGGGCATCAGTCATGTGCCCAGCAATCATTAACATGTGGTTTTGCACATGGGAACTGATTATGCGGACCAAAGGAGTAGTGCTTAGACGCTACATTTACTGCTACCTGTCAGGAAGCACAGAGGGTTCAACCTTTAATGGCCATATTGGCGGCCACCAGTGATGGGAGAAGGAGGATTTTTGATGGAGGATTTCATGAAATGGGGGTTAAGTTCCAGACTGAGGCTACGAGAGATCTGGATACTGTGCCGCAGGATTTCTTATGCAGCCATAAGCTGTGTTTGTGCCTCTGCTCCATATCTGTAAAATGGGGACATCCTCCCTTTGTTTGTCTTGTGTATTTAGGTTGTAAGCTGTTTGAGGCAAGGACAACCTTATATGTATTTTTAGTGTCTACCACATTGTGACCCTAATTGGGAATATTACAGCTTCATAATATAATAATTTGTAATAAGCCCCAAACTATGTAATGGCAAAGCTTTCTAGCCAACAAGTACCATACCGCTAGCCCTGTATCACAGAGAACTGACCAGAGAAAGTCTTAAGTGCAATCCCCAGTAGCCAACAGGATTTGGGAATCGGGGCTAAGGAGGGGACAGATGTGTAGGGAAGTTCATATGAGTACGATTCCTTTGGAGCAGTGTGGTCTGAACCTGGGCTGGGGTCTGTTAAGGATTCTGCCAGTAACCAATCTTATAGTGTAAAGAAAACTGTCCACCAATAAGAGGTGAGAAGACATTGTTTTTTGGGTGCCCCATTCCAGACACTTAAACCCTGAATCTTCAGAAGTGTTGGGGACTTGCAGTTCTGACCAGCGCCACCCCTGTTCATGTGTGCTCAGCGCCTCAGGCCCATGGTGTCTCTAGCTGAGCCTCAGAAATTGAAGTGTCCCAAATGACCAGAAACTTTCAGAATGTTTTGGCCTTAATGTACTTGTCCAAAATAGGAACAATCTTACAATGAACCACTTACTAGAGAATTGTAAGGCCTAACTCCAAAACCTAGTGGAGATCCCTAAATGAGGTGCTATGGAAGGGCATCCAGTTTTAGGTTGATACTCGCTACCACCTACTGTGTCCTCTAGGACAGTGAAGCAAAGAGCCTGTTTGGGTTAAAAACTGGTTCACAAGCCTTTAAATCCTCTTGCATGGGAATCCCCAGAGGGTAAGAACATGGAGGAAGGGGAGGAGTTTGTAAGCAGCTGTAATAAATGTATTTTTAGTGGGAGGGAAGGACATCTCCAGCCGTGGGATAACAGCTGTTCAATTTCAAAATTCCTCCCGACAGAGATGCAGCCAATTCTCGTTGCTTTTTTTTTAAAGCTTCAAGTTCCTTCAGCAGATCTCTTGCTGCCTTGTTTTGATTTTAAATATAAGTTTTGAATCACAAGTTGTAGTTTGATTTGTGTCAGTGGGATCTGAATTGAAGAGCAACCCCCTTTTCCTCTCACATCCCCAATATAGAGTACGCTCAGCCGCGCTCAGAGGTTTAGATGAGCGCTACAAGTTTCTAGAGAAACCCCTTCATCATCTCTCCAGAACCTGGGGGAGGGAGACTTTTCCCAGATCTGAGGGAAGAGCCAGAGGATGCTTCTTGTCCTCCCAGCCTCCTTTGTGTGTGTGTGGGGGGGGGGGATTGGATTGGACTAAGTGATCTCTGGAGGTCTTGTCCAGCCCTACTTCTCTTATGATTTTTCTCTCTATGATTCTCCCCCGCTCTTCCACTTTTTCTGCCTTTTGAACTGTCATTTTAAAATGAACAAAGGGAATAACAGTCCATATGTGCTGCTGGTGCCTCAATCCCCTTTCCGTGGTCCTTCATCGGTGACTGAGAACATGTGCCAAGCCCAAGTTCTGCACTGTGGCTGGGAGAAGCAAGGCCCCTCCTCTGAGCTCACATGAAGAGCAGAGCGTGTGTGGGAAAAGCAAGCCCATGGAGAGAGAGTTGTCTTTGTTGTTTTTTTTAATGTTTGTTTGTTAAAGAAATGGAGATGGAGAAGCAGGGAGTGGGAATACGGGGCGACATGGGAGACATCTTACCATGATCACGCACACATGAGGTCAGGCACAGTGTGGGATCAGTGCTAGACAATGTGGGAACTCTGCCGTTCCTTCTCCGTGCGAAGTGCTACTTAGGAAAGGAAATTGTATTGAAATATGAAACCATCCCTCTGCTTCACATTTCTGTGGAGCAAAGCTAGTGCCACCAGCTCAGGACCTGCAGCTGCCTGCTAGTTCTCAGCGACCGGCTGGTATTTAGGACAGGTCCCTTGGTCTGTCATTAGGGTCTTACCAGGTTGCCGTTTTCTCTCTCAGAATATTTGAGTGGATTTATTCCTGGGTGCATTGGCTTGGGACAGGCTTAGCGATGCCTTCCTTACAGTTCTGTGTGTTGGCCCAATCTGTAATACGGCCCTTTTATGAAAATCCTTGTTCTGAGCCTACCAGTCATGCTGAATTACTGTTAACGTGGAAGGCACATCTGCCAGCATTGTTCAGCTGGCAGCATCCATTTCTACCATTAGTATCAATACAATACTAATCCCCCTCTCTGCACTAGTACTACACTGGTGATACTGAAATCCTTAGGATGTTCATCAAAATCAGGTCAGTGCCACTGGAATTCAAAGTCCAAGACTCCTGGACTGGCTCTGATTGTGGACCAGTAGCATGCTCTGTATCTGGGACTCTCATTCAGGCTCTGTGATGCTGGGCCACTAATACAGTATCCGTGAGCTCTCTGTTACTAGTCAGCTGTACTGTCCACCCAGGGCTTTACCTACACTCAGATATGGAGCTAGCAAAACTTTTCTTTAGGATTTTCTCCTTTGCAGAATGGAAGAACTATTTCAGTATTTGCTGGTAAATGGAAGTGAAGTTTGTGCATTCCTCTGGGTGCTTCTTTTATGTGTCGAGGAGTCGGCGCAGGGCTGCCACCCTTTGCTTTGACAATCAACCTAACAAGTTTATGATGATGCTTGAGAGATGCAAGGGAAGGGAAGGCAGGTGGATTCTGGTGGGGGGAGGAGGGGGAGGGTTTATACAGCTCACCTAATATGCTGTCACCTATCCTTCAACACCCAAGAATGGATGAAATAAATTAAGAGGGTGTCCAATATCACTGTAGATCCTGCGGGGGTTGAGGCAAATGGGCTGTGCTCTGCAGTTCAGTAAGTCTTTGGATAGGCATGTGACAGCTAACTGGAGTATTTCAGGACAAGTTTCTCCTCTTCCTGCACTCCACAGGGACAGGCCATTGGAGGGTTACTTAGGTGTCCTCTAGGTGTCAGGTGTTTGTGCCAGTTACACTGCTATAATTCTTCTCTCCTCTGTTTTTCAGGTACAATGGTTTGGTGACTGGCTCACGTGCCAAGGGTATCATTGCCATCTGCTGGGTCTTGTCCTTCATCATTGGCCTGACACCCATGCTGGGCTGGAACAAATGTTCCCAGAGTGAAGGTCAGGATACCAATAACTCGTCTCCAAACAACTGTAGCAACAGGATGGTGGCTTGTCTCTTTGAGACTGTAGTCACCATGGAATACATGGTCTACTATAACTTTTTTGCCTGCGTGTTGTTACCCCTCCTCATCATGTTTGGCATCTATTTGAAAATCTTCATGGCAGCCCGGCGGCAGCTGAAACAGATGGAAAACAAGATGGTGCATGGGGAACGCTCGCGGTCCACTTTGCAGAAGGAGGTCCATGCAGCCAAGTCCTTAGCCATCATTGTTGGACTTTTTGCCATCTGCTGGCTTCCACTCCACATTATAAACTGCTTCACTCTTTTTTGCCCAGGTTGTACCCGTCCTCCCCTCTGGCTGATGTACCTGGCCATTATCTTGTCTCATGCCAACTCCGTAGTGAACCCATTAATCTATGCCTATCGGATCCGGGAGTTCCGACACACCTTCCGGAAAATTATCAGTCAGCATATCCTGGGAAGGAAGGAGCAGTTTAAGACCGGTACTGCCAGCTCTCGGACTTCAACTCATGGTGGGGATGGGGAGAATGCCAGCATAAGGATCAGTGAATATGCCCTGAACGTATACACCAATGGGGAGATCCACAGAGACCCTGAAAAGCAGGACCTGAGCAAATGCAAGGCAGGTTTGGAATGGCACCAGAATGGGAGTGCATTGGACATGGAAACAAATGGGCATATTCCACATTCTTGCAAAAACGGGGACCTCTCAGAGGCATGTAAGAACATGGAGCTGCTTAGTGAAGAGCTGATTGGGACATCTGCCTCTTACTCTGATCTGGAGAGTTCAACCTTTGCAGCAGCTGATGTTTCCTGATGACTTGTATCGAGTCTTCCTGATCAAATTATTTTTTTTTGCCCTGTCAGATGCCTCTATATGGGAGAAAGCGAGGCTGGGAAGAAAGGGAAGTCTGTGTCCATGTCTTTCTGGTGAAGGGGGTCCTTGCCCAGGACTGATGGGAAGATCCTAAGAGCTGGGCCGGAGAAAAGTAATGAGAGAGTTTTGAATGGACTATGGAAGAAGGAAAACTCTATCTGTCAAAGGTCCAGCTCTGAGACACAGAGAGAAGCAAACTAAGGTCAAAGCTGACATCCTGAGCTGAGCACCAGGAGACTGTTAATTCAGGGTATATTGTGCTGTTCTCCACTGTACTATGTGTCTGTGGATGTGTGTTGGTCTAGTTGTCTTCACCCACAGAAATAAAGGGCTGGTTAGAAGTATTCATGTCTTCATGAAGAGGGGTGGGGCTTTTAAGTCTGCAGCCTCTGTTAAAAATGTAAAGGGCATAACCCTGCCTGCTGGTCAGGAACAGTACCTAGGAAGTGAAGGGATTCTCATCCGGACCTTTGGACACCTTAAACTATATAACTGTTTTACTTTGTCATTGTTGTTTTTAAAGCTTAACTGCACCACAGGTTTCCTGACTTTTCTTATCACCACTAAATCACATCATCGTAGGACCTGCTTCTTACTTATAACGGTTAGCAGTTGAAGCATGACTATACACAGCTCCCAACCCTGCCCATGTCCCTGATAGACCCAGCATGTTGAAAGAAACTAGTAACTATATTTCACAGACCCCCATTTCATTTAAAGAAGTATGAATATGAACTTATTTTAAATAATTTATATTAGCCAAGGGGCAGAAGGCATGATAAGGTGGCAACCTGGAGACCAAATGGTTCAGAGAGGCAGAAGCTTTCAGAGGCAACAGCCTGCTTTGTCAGATACTAAGGGGTGAGAGCAGATCTGTGTTCTGCAGGTAACAGTGCGACAAGGCAGGGGTAGGGAAAGGTGCCCAGGAGGTGTTGACAGGTTTGGTGGATGGCTGGCAGGTGCACTGGGAGCAGTAGAAGGGGATAGGCTGGAGCCAGGGCCAGGTTTGTGCTGTCTTAAGAGTCATCTCTCTCCATCTGTCTTTGTATCTGCCCAGCTATATGTGCAGAATTAATCATTCTGTGTCCATCGACCAATTTTATCTCCCATTCCCTCTGCCCTCTGGTTTAGAAATATTTTCTCCTTTGAGCATAAAGTATTTTAGAAAACTGAACTGACCCTGAAAGCCTGAAATTCAAGTGAATCCAAGTTCATGAAACCTATTTTTCCTAGAAAATTGACAACTGGGAAATCCCATGTGTTTTGGTAATGTGTGGATGTAAATTGTGAAAGAGTGTATTGGACTTCAGGGAGACATGTCTGCGTGGGGCATTCCTATAGTTTGAGAGCAGAATCAGCTCATGTTTTGGGGAACTGGAAACCAGAAATACTAGTTTAACTCTTGGTGTTAGCCTGCCATAAAACAGAATCTAGTCTGCATCTCTTGCAGGGTGTATTATAGTGTGGTGTGTGCTAAAGGGTTTTTACTTGATCTGGGGATGACAGCACTACTTGTTATTAGTGAAGTCCCTTAACTCCAAGGAAGGTCAGTAAGATCTTTATGCTGCCCCCCCGCCCCCCCCAGCTTCTATCCTACATGTGCCATATATGCGCTGTTCTGGAGACTGCCTCAGTGGCTTCTCTAAATGAGTATTACAGTATTAGACTTGGGTATCACAAGGCTTTGAGGGTGAAAGGCAGGCATTGGCTTCCCTGTTAGAAAGCAAGGAGTTTACCCATTCCAGAGATTTTCAGATCTGCTTTCTGATCCTGAAGCACCATGAGATTAGACCTCAGTCCTGCTTCTGGGACAGATTTGTACATTGAGCATCCCAGCTCTCAGATCAGTGTAATTCTTGGGGAGAGGAATTTTGAGAAGTGCAGGAGGGAGGAGCACTGCTGGTGTGCATTTTTCTTTGGTCTTTGTTTTAAATATTAGTAAACTTAAATGAAAAGCCAGCTTTTTTTTCTTTTCCTGCAAGTTCCCTGGCTGAATCTGAGACTGGCTTGTAACTGAGAGCATTTAACTAAAATTTCCCCAGGGATTGTTATGGTGCTTTCTGTGAGTCCTCTACAAAAGGACAAGGCAAGTATTAGAACAATAGACTTCACAGTTTAATTGAGTTACTGTTTTTGGCATGAGTCTTCCATGTTGTCTCCTTACGTCGTCAGAGGGATGGATTAACACAACAACGCTGTAAACACCCATTAAACCATTTCCCTGTTCCTTTACATCACTGTTAGCCCCTCTGAAGGCATCTTTGGGGTGTTATTACCCTTGTTTTTTTCTGGTGGAATATCTCTGGGTAGTTCAGGGGATTAAACCTCTGCCCTTCGGTAACCTCCCACCAGTGGAGGAATCCATGAAGGGAAATGGGGTGGAGGTGTCTGATCATCTCTGAGCTTGCTCTGGAACTGAAGTGCTTCTAAGAATAACACCAGCTTACATCCTGTGTTTGTCAGTAACAATTAGTTCCACAAAGGAGAGCAGGGATGTGTGGGAAAATACCAGCGTCACTCGTGATGAAAGCATGTCCTCTCGTGTTCTCATTGCCATTGCAGGGGGATCTGACACGTTGCATCAGACTTGACAACAGCCAACACAGGCTCGCTGCCTTCCATTGCTACCTGAGTTTCTTCACACCCAAACATGGCAGTTTCTTCACTACTGTCTGCTTGCTGCAAGAACAGGGTTGACTTATGTGGGTGCAACAAACCTGGGATGGTCACTCTGGAAAACTATTTGGCTAAGCTGGGTTGCTGTGCAAACTCTGTTGGTCTCCAGATGTTGCGGAATTGGCTTCCGCACTGTTTAAGGCTTTTGACCAACTGGTTCAAGTACCATTTCAGTGCTGAAATGATTAAGGCCCAGAAGGAAAGGGCAGGGAATGAAATCTTGTCTCCCAAGGGTAGGGGAGCTGAGACTGGGACTGATTTGTGGGATGCCCGTAGGACTGCAGGGGCCTTCACTAGATGGACATTCCTTCCCAGGAGGAGTGGGGCAGTGTCGTTTGCAAGAATTTGGGGATGTTGCAATCAGCCAGGGAAGAGTGAATGGTAAAATGGAGCCCATTTGGTTGCAGACTGTGCATCTTTGGTTGAGGTGTGTTGGAGATGGACCTTCAGGATATGAACTCAGTATGCTCATTGAGGGGAAATGCCAGAGAAGCAGGTGAGAGCTACTACTCTGTGCTGGGTATATGCAAGGATCTCTAATTATCAGAAATGGCATTCGTTGGGAAATGACTGGCATAGGTGTGGACACTGCTGGCCCATGCTGGTTACGTCTACACAACAAACTTACTGTGCCCAGCAGCATCAGCACCTTAAGCCTGCTGCACTGCCCCTTGGGGCTGACTCCTCAGTGCAGTGTATCTGTGCTTGCACAGTGCTTCAGGTGGGCTGATCAGCACTGCTGAGCAGCAGGGTCAAGTAGCCATGCAGACTGCTTTGGGTTAGCAGGTAGCCTGAGCAGCGTGGCCCATCTGAAGTTGTCTCTGCTGGGGACGGTATGTTTACTAGGTAGCTGTGGCCCCAAACGCAGACACTGGTTGTTTAGCTCCACTTGACAGTATTGGCAACCCCAGGTGCTCAGAGACTGTGCATTTGGATGAAAAACATGTAATTAAAAAAATAAGGGCATTTGAGGTTTGTCTTTGTTGCTGTCCTGCTTTTGAGCCTTGTTAGGGTTCATATTTTCCTGGTTTGTTCTGTATTTAGGAGGGGAAGTACAGATGCCCATGTGAGCAACCAACTTCAAGAACTGGCACTGTAACAGAGACATCGCCTATCACAAGACTCATGTTATTGTGATTGGCAGTGCTGTGGCCTCATCACCATGCTCAGTCATGACAATGGCCAGTCCAGATGCAGAGACCTGGGAAGCTGAGTGCCCCTCTTCCCCTCCGCTTCAGCCTTTTCAACTGTTGGTCTATTTTTGAGAAACATGCCCCCTCTTAAAATATTTCAGTGACAAAGGTCAGAGGTCAATGTGAAGGGGAAAGGGCAAGCACGTCTTCCTCTCCCTCTTCCCACCCCCCCATCTCTTGTTAGTGGGGAATGTGTAGCTGATGAAATACAGCTGTTCTGGATAAGCTAAGATGTGGCTGAAATAAAGGGCAGGGGAAGACGGAGAGTGACGACTTAGGGAGTCGAGATGCAGAGCCCTGGTGTTACAGGAAAGAGGCAGGATTCTGCAGGAGTCAAGTTTCACTGAACTGGAACATTCTGCTAAAAATGGCCCTAACCCCCATAGAGAGAGAGAGAGAGATCTGGTGCCTTATTCTATGCGAGGGAATTCAATGAATTTCACCATTCCCAGGAGGCAAGTTGCAGTGTTTATTTGCCTTGCAGGGATTCGGACAGAGTTCTGGCTTAGGGCCACGACTAACTTCATTGAGAGTCATGCTAAGGCCCATTGCCTCTGCTAGGTGCTGTCTTGATTGCGTGTGTGCAACACAACACGTTACCACTTTATTTTGCATAGCATCTTCCAGACCAGCTGTATTCCTGAGTGTTTTGGAAGCTTGAATAGGGCAGCTGAGAGTCCAGCAATAGCTGAGAAATATGTCCCAGCAAGGCAGCATGTAAAAGTTGGTACGTGGTGGGAGGGTGGGCAGCGAGTGCATGCCTGTGGATGGTGGCTGTGCCAGCTAGAGAATGAGGCCTTGGGTTACAAACAGGCTTGGAAGAAATTGGGACTAAGCTGAGTTTTTGTTCACCTTTTGAATGGAACTGGCTTTGAGGCTGAAGTGGCAGGGAGGTGGGATTACCTTAAACTTCTTCCCCTGGTCTCCATTTCGGTTCAGCTTTGCACTGTGATTCTGGTCAAGGTCAAAAGCTTCTGTGCCTAAATCCTGTGTCGCTTCATGTTCCCAGCCAACTAGAAACGGGCTGCTCCCAGAAATGTCACAAGAGACTTTGTCCTCAGGAAATGTCCACCATGCTTCCATCCCTGATTGGACTATCAGGGAGGACTCTCTGAAATGGGCTGCACAGGCAGGGTCATCTGAACATGCAGCCAGCTTGTGAAGAGATGTTGGGCACATATATGTGGTGGGGGTGAAGTTTTGGGTGTGTTGTGTTGGCCTAACAGACCTCAAGAGTAGGATAACCTGTCACATTAACTGTACTCAGCCAGATGCTTCCCTGGAGAGAGAGGACTCCTGTGGGAAGGACTGAAATGCAAAGCCTGTCCAGTTTGCTGAGCAGGGCACCTGTCCTTGGAGGAGAGGGTGGTTCTGGAGGGTTGGGGCACGTTTGGGGTAGGGGAGGATCCTGGAGGGTTCTCAGGTGTTCCCAGGGGAAGCGTGCTGGAGGATTCAAGGGGTTGAGGAGACAAATGTGCTGAAGTCTCTCTTTGGGAGAGACTCAGGCAGGATTCAGGGGGTGGGGGAAGGTCACCACAAGTCCTGGGGCCCAGCAGCATGCCGTAGGATTTGCGGGGAGGTAGATGGGGTGTGTGCCTTGACTATCCGGGGCTGTTCACAGCAGGGAGAGCAGCCCATTCCCACCTGATTGGTATGCAGCCAAGGCAGAAGGGATTTTTCTCACCCTACCCCCTTCAGATGCTCTTTATTTCCTCCTGCCTTGATGTAACCCAAGGCGCCTCTGATGAGCCTAACCATGTTTTAGAGGAACAGATAAACGCGCTGAAGCCATGCCCTTGCAAAGTGGGTTGCGTCCCAAGTGCAGACCACTAGCACAGTGTTTAGGAAGCTGCCTAAAGATCAGCTCTTTCTTCTATTGCCTTTTTCACTGAATCTGCTCTGCATCAGACCTGGCACCTCCCTGCGGTCCTGAGAGCAGAAGAGGTCCCAGGCTGATGTTAATCTTCCCTGTGGCAGCATGAACTATGAGTAACTGAAACAAGGTAACACCCGTTGGTGAGTCTCTAAAATGCCAGAATCAGGTCTGGGTCCTTTCTTTGTGGCTTTCCAGGAAGCTGGGTCATGTCAAGCCAAAACAGGCCAAAATCAGGGCTGGAACCTACTGATCCTAAAGCGCCTTTTGCCTCCACTCCTGGCCTCCTTCCCACTTGCCCTCAAAGCAGATGGTTCCTTTCCTCCACTCTGCAGAGCCTCTGTCCCCATCTCGGTTTGTCTCCTGGTGTTCCCTGGCACAAGGGAACCCAAACACACCGACGTACATGCTGCAGTCTAGGAGATCCCCACCCCTTTAATTTAAAAATGTTGTAACTTATAGGTGGGATGTCCTCATGTCCCTCTCTCTGCATCTGGAGAAAGTGGGAGCAGCCTGAAACGGGCATGGTGGGGAGAGGTAGAGTCTGTGTGCCTGTAAATGTATTGTTAAGTGCATTGACTACAATTTTTGAATGTGTGAAGTTGTCAGACTGCTGGGCAGGAAATGCCCTGGTGCTGCTGAATGTGATGTCTTGGTTAAGTTTTTTATTGAGCACTAAAATAAAATATATTTATAAAAGACAGCGTGAGTGTTTTTGTGTCCTAGTGCTGGGACAGACAGCCAGCTCCTGGTTTGGTCGGACAACAGCAACATCATTATTATTATTGTTGTTATTATTTAACTTCTGGGATTAACCCAACAGAAAGGAGAGTTTTCCATCCTGTTCCATTCCCCATCCTCTGACTCCTTCTTTTAGACTTCTGTTGAAATTCTTACATTGCTCCGCAATGATGGACCCCTAGAGTCTCAAAGGTCTATCACATCTCTGGCTTCCTGGGAGCCATAGGCTTGGCAGCAAGAGGGCATCACGTTTATGTGCTGTGTAATTGCAGCCCATCTGTCTGCCTGAGGTGTGCAGGGCAGTGTGGCCTATCAGGGCAGTAGTGAAACATGCAAATACTACAGACACCTACTTGGAGGTAACACATGCACCGCAATGCAACTCTGCCAGCTGGGACCCGAGCACTGGCTGGTGTTGTTAGTGTTATCGGTGCACTTCAGACTTCCTGCCAATAATGCTCTGGCTACCCCATTGCTCTCACACCCTGCATCGCTCTGGCAAAGCAAGAATGGTGCAGGTTGGGGTTGGAAAGCTGTGGCAATCTTGGCCCTTGGTTAATTTTTGGGCTCCAGAGAGGGCATGGCCCCTCCTGCTGCTCTAGTACTCCTGTCAGGCCAGTGTACAGCAGCTGTGTCAGGACACAGGAAAAGCTGTGTCCGGCTTTCCTCCATAGCAGCTGTGAAGCGCAGTTCAGGGAAAGCTGATCTGCTACCTCAGCATCAGGCATACAGAGATGATAAAGTGACAGTTCCCCAGGCTGCTGGTGAATAGAAACTCCACTCTCAGACCTCTTTCTGAGGGGGCTAGTGCCCCCCCCATACCAGGCACTGTGACCCCACTGTGAGAAGGAGCTGGTGTCCCTGTTCCCTACAGACTAGCAGTGCCTGAGCTGTGCAATCAAGTGTGTCAGTGAAAAAGCCTTTTTTCACAAACACTGTGTGTTTTGTTCTGAAGCATCAAAGGAAAGGAGCTTGGAGGAACAATGGGAGTTTGCCACAGTACAGCAGGAGCTCTTGGAGGAACAATGGTTGTACCTGTCCTGCAGGAAGAAAGCAGAGTACTTGGAAGAACATAGTGAGTTTCAAAACACATTTGGCCAGCTCTGGAGCCCTAACCCTTGAGCATGACTGCTTGGCTCCTGCAATCCCAACCAACATAGGCAAAGGCAGGAAACAGAGACTTCACAGGGCTTTAGTTGCAGCCCCATGCTGAGATGTGCCTGAATTATAATTTAATATCCACTGGATTCTTTGGGAAAGAGATGATCATTCATCATCCACTGGGGACATGGGAGTTCTTGTCTATCTCTAGCTTCCACTTGCCTAACATGGTGGCAATGGTGTGAGGCAGTTAGGTCTAGGGATGTCATTGTCATGTTAGGTCTGGGACCTAAACTACCCAGATATCTGCTGGGAGGAGCAGTCAGGTCTGACCATTTGCGCAGGTTCCTAGCTGAAATACAGGACCTCCACCTTATCCAGGAGGTTCACAGCCCCACTAGGGGAGATGCCTTGCTGGACCTGGTCTTGGCCACTGGGGATGACCTGGTGAGGGGACTGCAGGTCCCTGACCATCTGGGTGACAGTGATCATCTCCTGCTGGAATTCACCATCCAGCGCAGGGTGTTGAGGGCTTATACCAAGATTAAAGCCCCTGACTTCAGAAGGGCCAACTTCAATGGACTTAGGAGATTAGTGGGGGAGGCACTGAGGGCCCAAAAGGCAGAGGATATGGGAATCCACAAGGGATGGTTGTACCTTAAGGGGACAATCCTCCAGGCTCAGAGTGTGACAGTCCCCAAGAGAAAGAAGCGGGGGTAAGAGTGCTCTGAAACCCCCATGGCTCAGCAAAGGTATTCGGGAATGCCTGAGGGCCAAAAGGAAGGCATACACCTGGTAGAAGGGAGGGACTATCACCAAGGAGAAATACTCCCCCTTGGCCTGTGGGTGTAGGAGGGCTATTAGGAAGGCCAAGGCGGGGGTGGAGCTCAGGCTAGTGACCAGGATTAAGGACAACAAAAAGTCCTTCAAATACATTGGGAGTAAGAAGAGGGCACCAGCTAATTTGGGCCCCTGCTAGACTCAAATGATAATCTTGTGG